TTATACAGCTCACGGAATAAGATAGAATGAAACAGACTTCCAGTGTCAAGTAAAATACGATTATTATTTTTCAATTCATTAGGCAATTAGTCAATCGTCAACATGATTATAAATATATCTGACATTAATTTCTATTAATGATGTTAGTTAATTTGCCATTAATTAATTTACTTTAAATAATTTCGGTCATCAGAGATCACGATACATAGGAGCTAAAGACCGGGAATAGTTGATATATAGTATGTTGTATATTCGACATGGCAGAGATTATTCGCGCGTATTAGAATTGAGAGCCGAGTTTTTATTCTGCTGCCATTCCATCTTAACATTCTCCTCCGTCCTCGATACTATCTTTCACTAGGAATGTACCGGATCGTAAAATTGTCGGATATTGGATATCCAATGTCACATTCTTTCTGGATATCCGATAGGACAATTACCTGACCGGATATCGGATCTATTTTCCAGATATCTGGTATACTTTTTCTATTCTATTTATAAAAAAGGAAAGCAAGGGACAAATAGTGATAATTTTCTTTATCTCCTCAACATGAAAAGAAAAAGACGAAAGATGAACTGTGCAAGAGGTTTAGTTGGGTGATTATTTAGGGATTATTAAGGGAGGTCACTCAGGATCATGACCTTGACCTTAACATATGTTGTCAAGGTCATGATCCTGAATGACCTCCAACAGGTTTTAAGTGGCGATCGTTCTTCGTTAAAAAATTATTAACAAATAAAGTTTAAAAAAATGATGTCTCTTTTCTACTATATGAATAAAACAGAAATTTCTTGTTTTAAAATATATTTTACGACTTTCTAAGCGAAGCGATTCCCACCTCCCTCCTCTCCCTCCCCCCTGCCAAGGGCCATTCGACTTTCCACGCGAAGCAAGTTCCACACCCCATCTCGCCAAGTTGCTTCGCGTGGAAAGTTGAACGTCCCTTGGCAGGAGGATGGAGGTAGGGATGGGAGTCGCTACTCGTGAAAGTTGTGCACCTCTAAATAAGAGTGAAGAGGTGGGGTGGAAATCGCGTGCTCCAAACAAAGGGGGAGGTGGGGTGAAAGTTGTTTTGCGTGGAAAGTCGTAAAATATATTTTAAAGCAGAAAATTTCTGTTTCATATGATAGAAAAGTGACACCATTTTTCAAACTTTAAGTCTAATAACACTCGTATTCATAGTTCTTCCTTATTTTAAGGATGGAAGAAGCCTCCATGAAGGATTCCTCGATTCTCCAAGGCCTCCTTGTTTCATAAACGGATCTCAAGTCTGCCTTTCCAAAGGAAGGAATATTTTAGGGGTTTTAATAACCTACTGAGGGCAGCATGTCATAATGTATAGTATATGCATACCTAATATCGTAAATTACGAATAATAAAGGTTATAAAGATATTATTGAAATATCTAAATAAAGTCGTGTTGCAAAAATATTTTGCAACAATAATCGACAAAAATAAAACTAATAGCGAATTTGATTGGACGCACTCAGTGTGCACTGGTGCACATTAAAACCGCCGTACATACATAAAATAATGTAAATATATGTTAAATATAAATAAACATAGAAATCGATTAAATTGTGAAATATTCAATACATTTTATTGTACTGTTAGGTAAAATATGTATTTTATAATTCTAAATATTTGCATTTTATTTTTATACTCAAATTAAGTCAGTGTACAATGGCTTTAATATCATCAGTGCTTCCAATCGAATTCGCCATAATGCTGATTATACGAAGAAGGAGAAAATGCTTTTGGTGCAGTTTATTTTCGAACAAAAAGCTATCAAAAATAATTATCGATGCGATAGATCTAAATTAAAAGCTATCGAAAGTAAAAAGACGAATTAAATTTGGAAGTTTGCTTGGTTGCGAAGATTGCATCTGCTTCTCAAGGAAACTCATAACCTCCCTTGAGAAAAGGAAGCTAATAAGGGTCCTTGTTTGGTCAAGGAAAGTTTATGACACACGAAATGAGGAACAAGGAATCCTCATTTCTCAAGAAAGGACTATGAATACGGGTATAAATATCTCAGAAACTAGAGATCTTATAATCAAAGTTTGGCGAATGTAGACCCAAAATGGCGAATAAAAAGAGATAATAGATATTGCTTTCTCGTTCGAACGCATGCGTAAAAAGTATTAGAATACGTGACAGGCAATACATGAAGAAACCAATCGAGTTGATCAATTGTTCGAATTGTGCAATTGTAGTTTGTTAATTTTTTATTTGTCCGATATCTCGGAACGATTTTTAATCTCTTTGACACAGGTTTTACTCATCTGCTTGTAGCTATCTATCTCTTTCTTTTTTTCGCACTCGTTTTCCGACTAGTGTCGCTATCCGAAGAATACCGAGTGGACCAAGGTGGAGAATCAATCAGAAGTTATGCCCGCTTTCGTTTAAACTCTGATTATATAGGACCTCTATCAGATCTCTATCAGAAATTAGAGTCCCTCTAGTAAGAGTCAAGTCATGAGGAGCACCGATTCCTGTGTGCAACTGTTTCATAGTGTAGAAGGCGTGAACGCGAAATCGGACTATCAACTGTCAAATTGTGCTGTTTCCGGCCGGTACCAGACACCCGACAATGGCGTCTTAACTCTTGCTAGAAGAACTCTATCAGAAATAAGAAATAATCATAAGAAATCGCCATCTAGTTGTTGAGGCAAAGTTACTCAGAATCATGATCTTGACAACATATATCAAGATCGGCGCGGTGTCTCTTATATAATATGCATAATTACCATTTAGCTAAAAAGAAAAAAATTCTATAATAATGACGCGAATTTTCAATGTAAAATTTCAGCCGGATATACATATATGTATATATTGCTGGATTCTACTAATAATGATATTCAATTATATGACCGGATAAGGTTTGACACCAGATACTTTCCGGATATCCGGTATATCCCTACTTTTTACTCCGATACAGTACTTAAATCGAAAAATGAATTAATTAACAGATCTGTAAATGATAAAATAATATTTGGCAAATTAATAGGGCGTGTCCGTCTCTTTTTCTTCTTCAGTGAAAGAAAAGGGACGGATAAATTCATGCAGTAGGCAATCTTTTACGAAGACGACGTGATTTAGTCCATATTTAAATGTTTTGTGCAAGATGATTTTGCCTTTCTTTTAGATTTTGATGTTTAGCTAAACGAATTTTTAGAGTTATATATAAATACACATGCACACACCATGTGTGCGTGCGCGCGCGCTGGGAGTATACATATACTTAAATATGCATGTATATTTATACATATTAAACAAAAATCATAATATGTGTAAATTCCATAAATTCAATTTTGATGCTAGAAATACGGGAAAATGGAAATGAATGTATTCAAATAATACGCAATGTCGTAGTGATGTTAAATTGATGTAAAATTCAGTGTAATTCGTCAAATATTATTTTCCCCAGTTAAAATGATTTTATATTTATCTTATCATAATAATTGAGTATTACTTGAATAATCGATGTAATTGCGACATAACGTGTGTTTATAAATATCGTAAAGATTTTTGACAAAATACCAAAGGAATAGTAATGGAACGTTATTAGTTAGTAATTACAAGGTTGCTGAAACACAATGATCGCTTGTTCGACAATCATAAAATCATCATTATAAAATTATAAAAATTTCAATGATTTATTTTTGAGAAATATTCTAGGCCATATATACATATATGTGTATATACACACACGCATGCACACACGCACGCACGCACGCACGCAGAAAGAGAGAGAGAGAGAGAGAGAGAGAGAGAGAGAGAGAGAGAGAGAGAGAGAGAGAGAGAGAGAATACAACTCTTTTTCTCTGTTTAACAGAAGATTATTCTCTCCGTTATTCTCTCGTTTCTATCAATGTAAATAAATTTTAATCTTATTGTTTAACTTACTTTTCATCTTTTTCTAGTTCTAAGAATTATATATAGATGAAGATTAAGTTAAATCAAGATTAAAGTTATTATTCTTATACATTGGTAGAAATGGATATCAGGGGAAAAACAGAGATCTAAATTGTATTCTCTCTCTCTCTCTCTCTCTCTCTCTCTCTCTTTCTCTCGCGTGTCAGCCAAGTTTATGCGTCATGCTCGGTCTATTTACATTGTGTCATATGATGAACTGTATAGAACTATTCCATTTGTCTACTATTGTACACACCACACACCCGCGTGCGCGTGTATTATCTAAATCTGTATTTCTTATTTAAAACATTTTATGTTTTGTCTTCGAACTTTTGTCTTCATTTAAAAGTATTTATTTGTTGTAAACAAATTAACGCGCATAGAAATCTGCTCAATTTTTATAGAAATGCAAATTACTTTTGAAGAAAATTGAACGTTTTCTTATTGTTAATTTACTTAGTTTCTCCGCCGTGTCAGTATAAGATTTCGATAGACTAACGCAACTAAAAATTGGCTGCTGAAACCAATTAAAAATGGTATGCTATATTCAGCTAATTTTTTCTTTCAGTTTAATATTTTGCAAAGTCATAATCAGTTGCAAAATTTTTTCAGAATATGATTTTGCAAATAATTTATCAAAGAAGAAGACATTAATAAAAAATAGAAAACTAAAAAGTAAACATAACACATTTCTGTTTATTATCTTGTAAAAATAACACATTTTGAAAAAAACGTGGAATATCTTTAGAGGGAGGGGGGGGAGAGAGAGAGAGAGAGAGAGAGAGAGAGAGAGAATCCATTGCGCATTTAGTCTAGCAATACACATGACTGTTCGTTATTTTTTTTATGCAATATATGAGTGAGTATGACAAAAAATGGATTAAAAATGAATATTTAAATGTTTCTAATGTTATGTAAATAGAATTATAAGAACGCAAAAACATTTTCAAATATTAAAATACACATGTTTGAATGACGATGATGATATGATAATATGATACGTTTGACGATCTCATGTTCAGAAAAGAAAAAAATAAATTAAAATAAACCGTTTATTTATGTGTATTAATGAACGGTTACTATTTTAAATTATTACGTTGTTTTATTAATTATCCATGAATTCTATAAGCTTCTACCTACTTATTGTAGAGATTCTTTAATCAGGGTCAAATCGAAATAAGTTGGATCGACGATGACATTTTTCATCAAAAATACATATATGATTGTGTGGTACATATACAGTTGTATCACAGTTGTATAACATGTATTATAGTTCTCTGAAAAATGGCAGTTCCAATTAAAATTGTAAATTTATTCCGTTTTATTCTTTAATTGTTTAAACAACATTTGCAACCGATAAAATAGATTTATGAAATATATCGAAAACTTTCCTTATTATTCGATAGTTAATAAATAACTGTGTATATTTGAAATTAAGTTAGGATAACTCCGATATATATAGAGTGCCAGATATATATAGAGTGAGATTAATTTTTGTGAGTAGATAGAGTGGACTAAATTGAATCGAAAAATATTATATTGCAATTTTCGTAATATTTAATGAGATATAATATTAATTTCTAAATATCGTTGAATAGCATAGTCTACCACCAAGTACAAGCGCGTGACCTTGAGATAAAACCACCTATCCTGTCTATCATCGTAGATTGTTAGGTACGAAAGGAATTGTTTATTACGAGCGGCATTAAATTGACAATGAACAAGCGGCGAAAGGAAACATCTCTTCGCATGCATGGACGCGATTACATCGCACGCTTGCATTTAACGATAGCTCGGGCGGATACGCACATATTTGGCGATCTTTAGAAATTAATATCTCATCAATTATTACAAAAATTGGAAAATAATAGAGGATCATTCTACTTAGTTTAATCTACTTAGTTTACTCTATCTGCTCACGAGAGGTCATCCTGTAACTAATTAGAAAAACATTTTTGAATTTTTATTTAACTATTTTTGATTTTTATATTTATTGTCTACATTTTTTATTATTATTTATAATATTTAACTGTACAAAATGTTTATCTAGTTTAAAAATCTATCTAATTAAAAAAAGGAACAAGAATAAGTATTTTCAAATATTTGCGAGAAACATGTGAGAGATTTGAAAAAGAGTTTTCCAAAAAATATGACGTTATCAGATGATTAGTCTTTTCGTTGCGCATATCCTTTTGTTGTAGTTGCTTTTGTGGCATATACGCTTTTTGCTATACGTGCGAAATTGTCTTTCGTTTCTGCTTTTTTTTCCTCTCCATTGTCTAAGATGATTGGTAATTCGGTGTCTCGCAACAGCAGCGTAGTGGTCGTTGGAAGCGTCGAATTGTTATCCTGTAAGGATTGCTAAAAGGAAATATGAACATGAATTATTATTATGCCAATAATTTTTGGATTAGAGAAGAATAGAAAATTATTAACTGACAAAGAAATATAAACATTACATACATATGTATATATATATAT